AATAATAATAATAATAATAATAATAATAATAATAATAATACTCGATGTCTATGTTGTTTGGAAACAGTTAAACAGTTCATGCAGAGTTAATATTATCGAAAAATTATAAAAAAAAACAAGTATTATACAATATATGATGTAATCGCAAACAATTTCTTGCATTATTCTGACAAAAATAAATCTATAAAAGTTGATCATCTTGTTGATGCATAAGAATTTTTGATCGTTGAGAATCAATTGCTAGACATTGTTTATGTATCCATAAATTGCAGTAAATTGCAGCAAATTTCAATAAGATTAGATATAAAAATGGTGTACTTGTTAGCAGTAAATCTGACAATATATAATCGTTACCAACACTGATATACACTTAAGAGTTCCACTATTAGCATCGAATAATATCTTTCCATTCGTCAATCGATTAAGTTTAGATTAGTTACTATGTCCTTACTGATATCGAGTCATGAAGGAAGCGATAAAGTTTAAAATTAATATTAGACATTAACCCCGTGTTCTACGCTATATGCCTAATCGCTCCATTAACACATTCACCGTTATAATATAAAGGAAAACAATGGCTTATTAAAGATAATAATAAAGAATCTGCATGATAGTTTACTTCGTTTCGCGATTACGTTGAAGCTGACAAGAAACAAACAAAAGTTTTCTTCACGTCACACAATACAGTTGTAAATCGATGATCAAAATGAAATTAAAACGAACGCATTTGCAATTATTTACGTTCAGCACCGTCATTCAAGAGTAGCTCGAATCTTCCAGATAACCTAATTAGTTTAAGTAAATTATACAGCGTCATTCTACTAGTGTTAATCTTTTATTTAACTCCAAAAATTCATAATCACAAACTTTTACACATGTATCAACATTACCATTTGTTTTCTTCCACTTTACCAACAAATAATCAAAATACCATTCGATTTACAAGCGTGTTTCGTGCTGTACTAAAAACGATACAGCGACACGTGTACGCAATCGAGACAGTGAATGTGTTAAGCTAATCTTCCACAGCTTCGACGCTATTCTAAATTTCGTATAAATCGAACCTTCCGAATCTAGCTTTAACGAAATCCAAATGAAAAGAAGAAAAGGGTCCGGTAAAATTTCACGAAACAGGGTACAAGCCAGCTATCTGTCGTTCCGTGTAGCGTAAATCTTCCTGCGACGCAGCCGGATGTTTTTTCACGTCAAGAGTTTGAGAATGAGAGACCCGCCGGGACAAGGCGCCGATCGTACAAGCGTTCTTTAATTTCCCGGACAGAATGTGCTGATCGAGAAAAAAATGCGGTCCTCGCGCAGCGACGCGGTAGTAAAATTCGTCGCCGACGGATTTTCAATGCTTGCTAACGCGAGAGACGATACGTGACGCGCAAGCGGAATCCTGTTCGCGGAAAGTGGAAACGATCGGTGCTCGTTACGCGGACAGGTCCGTTCGATCGTCGAACACTCGGTTTTACGCTGCCAGGACCGAGCATTATCGCCGGCCGAACGATACAATAATTCCGGAAGCGCTTCTCTTTTTCCGGCGAACGGAGGATCGATAGGCTAGAGTTAGTGTTTCCGTATCCTACGACGATAACAGATCGAATAGTTCCTTAGGTTATCGACTACCTAGTTAACTGTGATGTATAGACGTGTATGTGTCCGGGTGTTTGAAAGAAAACTCGAGAACCGAGGCGTGTCGCGTGTTTCGCGAAAATGGTGCGAATTGCTCGGGATCTTGTCTAGAATCGAAATACAGAATAGAAATGCTTTTGTTGAGTTTTGCGGTTGAAGGCTCCTTGTAAAAAACACTGTACCTGTGAGATCATTGAATAATTTCGTTCTATTCGTCGACGGAAGTAGTGTGACATGCAATTTAAGTAGTTATCGATGGTGCTGAGAGATAACCTCACCAGTACGTCGCACGTTGCCTTTGTAATGAACACTCCAAGTGCCAATTTCATTCAATTGTTTCAACGGCGTTTGTAAATCGATATGCGTGGCATCGTATTATATTAATGCAAAACAACGAGGAATGTTGTGACACGTCGGTTTATTGCGTTATTCTGCACTAGACTGCAAATTATTCGTACATTCTTTAACCTTGCTGTTCTATTCGGGTCTATTTCATCCAAAACGAACATCATTTGCACACGATTTTGTCATTTGAGAAAGTACAGCTTAGTTATTTTATGACCTTTTTTTGTAACATCGAACGATTACTTTGCAAGTGAGATTTTTCAAATTTCTTATTACCTTTACTGGTATTAGCTAATACGTATGTTTAAAATGGTGAAGATACATACATAAAATTTTCATTTCTTACCACTGTTCTTTCTTTTTATGTACTATCTGTGTCTGTGTGCTAATGACTCTGTCGCAACCCTTGAGGAATCGCAAGCTTAATCTCTATGTGCTATTGGGAACCGGAACGAATGGTTCTTACCCTTAAACTAAACAACGCGAGGGGCACCTAATCACGTCTTCTGTTCATCGCGTAACTCAGCCAACAATGATTCAGGATTTAAAAAGGTGGGAAACATTCGGTGGAGATTTCCACTCGCGTGGTTTAGTTTATTGTGATGGCCATTCGTTTCCGCTCCCAATAAGACATATTACAGTTTTGTCATTCGTAAAGAATAAGCCTGAGCTTCCTAAACGACTGCTTAAAAAGTGCATAGTTCTTTATTTTATTTTGCAAACAGACTACTATTGTCGATAATATCCCCAAAAAAGTGGAAAATCGTTATTTTTATGAGTACTTCTCATAACTTTAAGGAAAGTAGCAATATATACCTGTTATAATTGTGATAAATATATTTGTGAATCACATGTATTGTGCTGTTTTATCCAGATTGTAAACAAACATAATAGGATTATTACGTTCAATTTTTATTTTTTCTTTCTAATGAAAAATATTTACGTTTATTTACATTTGTTAAACTGTTTTCCATAAATAAAACTGTACTTGTTATGATGAAGTAATTCAAAATTGTTGATGTATTATTTCATCGCTTCTAACATAAGATATTATATTACCGGGTCAAATAGACCCGAACATCACAAGTGTACACTAATAATGAAGAGAACAGCAGAGTTAAAATGTTATATCTTTTTTAAAACTAAACTAAACAACTTGAATTTTTTTTAGATGATAGAAAGACTAGTCTATTATATAAAATACTTTCTTTTTTTATTTTGCTATTGCTTGGAATGATAAACTCGCGGTTTTTAACCTGAGCCTGTAATGAAAATATAAGAAACGCATTTTGTAGATTTGTGTAGCTTACATGTATGCTGAAATTTTCATTGAAATCGTTTGACGTTGTTATGAGGGACAAACAATTGATAATCACGAAAATTGCATTTTTGTCACTTTCGAACAAAAGCTGTAAAATCTGTTAAGTTTTTTCAATCTAGCAATGCCTTTGACTCGACGTTAACTGATTTTGGATGAAATTTTCAATACGCATATAAATTACCGAGATCTCCAAATTGCATTTTTTAAATTGTCATTATAGGCTCTGATAAAAAATTTACAAAATATGAGTTCTTTATTTTCTTTTTTCATTCCATGCAATAGCAAAATTGAAAAAAAGTATTTTGGCCATTGTTCTTCTATCACCTAAAAATTCCAAGCCATTTAGTCCAGTTTTAAAACAGTTACACTTTCTCTATTAGGAACATGTTAATAGGATTTCCCATTATTGTGCTATATTAGGAGGAATCTTAAAAATCTGTTTATACAGAATAAACAAAGTTCTTAGATTATGTTATCGAGTGACTAGTTGCTACATGATAATTGCTAGTGCAATTGAATAATTTCTTAACAAGTTCTCAGCTATAAATTGTAGGATATCAAAAGCTATGAAATCATTTACATCATTAAAATTTAATAAGAAAAATTCTAAAAATGTAACTTTATTTGTGTATTATGCTCTGACTGCTACAACTGATAAAGAAAGTTTTCATTTTGCATAAAAATTCGCGGTCTAATCATCGGTTGCAACTAATGTGAAAGATTTACATCTTGCATAAAAATCCGCAGTCTAACCATATTTACGAAGAGAAGAAGAGATCAAATTTTTGGTAATGATTGTAAATTGGCACACGTTTTTATACTCAAACAGTTTTATATTTGGCAGTCACGGTGTTTTCTACAAGGACCGTTCAACCGATGCAGAAAAATAAAAATTATCGTTGGTCGTTATTATTTTGTTACCTTGTATGTTGATGGTATACCTATAGAGCTCGATTTAGAACGTATTTACGTTTTTACGCGAGTATCTTTGCAGAGCTCGTGAGAGATTACTATAATAAAGTTGGAACAGCGTGTAAAAGGAACAGATTGATTTGAAAGAATTGTTACTCAAGCAAGGTTCTTCGCAGTTATAAGAACCTTCCACACATAATCTTTCTTTTATATTAAGCAGTATAACGACCAACTCGTCCCACTTCTCGCGTGTCGCGGACCCATTATTCGATCAGTTTTCCAGTTTTTTGCGAGCCAGGTCGCGCGAAGTCCACGTTGTAATCCACTTACGCCGGTACTCACGCGTCCTCAAGTTCTCGAACCTTTTCTTTCAGCAATACCTTGTATATGAGCGTACCATGTACACATTATCCGTATGGAAACTTCCCAGGACGATTACACCGAACGTATTTCCCGTTGTTTTCTAAGCAGAGTACATGTTTCCTATATATTTATCTATTACCAGGTGTATCGGTGGTCCTTCGTTTCTGTAAATACACTGTTTTGTTCAAGAATTGCCGATATGTTAAGAAACTTATTATATATATACACACACATAAATATATATTTACCACTTGTTAGTATTCGAATTTTTCCCTTTAACTATTCGTGTAAGATGTGCATACTCGAAGATAGTGGGGGAGGGATCGATTTCATGCGAGATATGTGTAATCCTCTCTTCCCCCCGCGATAGCTGTAAGAAATGAAGCATTCCGTGGATATCTTAAACTTCAGAACGCTCGAAGAATTCTGATCTTTTTAAGCCGAACGGGATATCGTCGTTGTAGATCGTAACGAAACTTATACCTAAGTGAAAGTATTCGCCGGCGAACGGGTATTGTAACGGGTGCGGCAGGTGATCGTGGAACATCACGCTCGTCTATCGGGAAATCGTGGATAGGTTCTCTCCTCGATGCTACAACCATTTCTCAACGTCCTGTCATTTTCTCCTTGCATAACCGCGAGATCTTGACCCGATCTTTCCGAACAATCCGGAATATTGATTCGCAACTTTCTACGTTGCCTCGGGTCACAAGGTTTAGAGACTGTTCGAGTGCCAGGGGCCTTCGCAAAGAACGAAAAATGCCAAGCAGAGCGATCGTGTTTCTTTCGCCCCGCAAAATTATAGTGCAACACAGCTCTCCTCCGATTCATTATTTCGTGCACTAAATAAGCTAGGATTATTTTATTTTGGTACAGCCTTCATAAATGGTAAACATAAGGGCAACTATTGAAAGAATTCGGGAGCAAAGTCAGTCTGATGCTTTGAACAAGCTATGGTGTTTGTGACACTATACATTTCAATTTGGTACAACTTTTATAAGTAGTAGGTGCTTTAAATAAGCTATAATGCTTGGGACATTATAAGTTTTTGTTGGACATTGGATTAACAAGAGCACCTCATCAGTGTCGTCTTCGTTTGTCTCGCTATCCGTAGAGGCAATACCTATGGCAACTAGATTTCGCTTCGTCTCCTCCGATATAGCTCTCTTCCCCTTTCTTTTCTTCTTATTTAGGAGTTCGATCATTTCGGGCTTGTCTACTCCTGCCATCTCGGTCATTTTATACCGATTTTCGTATAAAACTAAATCGTCGCAAAATACAGACCGAAGAAAGCCCTATGATTCAGCGTGTCTAGTAGCAGTATTAGCTTTAGGCAGTCGATCATGTCGCCATGTTGGTATAGTTTTTATAAACAGTAACAATAAGAGGACACATTGAAAAATCCGAAAATGAAGTCAATGCGAGTTCACTAATTATTTGGTGCTCTAAATAAACTACGATGCTTTTGACTAGATTGCGAATTTTCACGCAAAATGAAAATTGTTCGCACTGATCGCAAGATACAGGAGTTACATAGATATTTGTTTCGTCTCTTAATCGTTTCAATTAAGTTGAAAATAATGTAACAATATGTTGAAAGTCTTAAAATGTTTTCTAACGTTTTATATTTTATATACTCATTTTTGTCGTAAAAGCATAAAATTCGCTGTCTATCGATGACAGTATACATTTTAATTTAACATAGTTTTTATAAACAATAACAGTAAGGGCACGTATTGAACAAATTCGGAAGTAGAAGAAAAAAACACGATCGCTCTACTTGTGTGGCATTCAAATGGTTAAAAAGCCTCGAAAACTCGAGTTCAAAGATCTGTGAAGTGCTCAAACGACGAATGCAGATATACGACTCGTATATCTATTTAATTATTAAATATATGATTTTATTAAATATATTTGCAAAATGATGAACGTACGTTAACTGTTAATACGTTAACAATTTTGCACAAGATTTCAAATCTCGTCTTAAAGAGTTTATCTTTCTATCCATCTCTCTGTTTTAATGGTTCTGAAAACCTGTTTTCTTTCTCTTTTTGACATTTTCTTATCGTTTAACACATTGGTAGCTTCACACTTAAAATATGGCACTATCGAAGCCATCAAATAAAAATTACTTTTATTATCATGTGAACTGAAATTAAATCATTATTTGCTCAATTTGAATTTTGCAGCAGAGGAAATCAAGAAATATGTTCACAGAAAATAAAAATTTCTTGTCAAGGCAGTATCTTTCTTTTGTTTTTTAATATCTGTTGATCTTTCTACTTCATGTGAAAGCTACACTCGTACAGTTTAACCTTTGAATTTCTTTTTTGTCAAATGATTAAACAAATAGTATCAGCGGAAACTCTTCTGCAAATTGTTTTATTAGTATTGTTATAACTTTGAAAAAAAATGATTTTTTCAACTTACAAAAAACTCAGTACATTTCTCGAATATTGGTTAATAAACGTACCACGTTTAGAATTATAATTTTCAGTACCGTTTCGTCAAACCGGAGAGATCATTTAAGAATTATAGATCTTGATATTAAAGATGACGAGGCTAAACAAGTTGAAATTATGTACAAATTTTTAAAGTTGGTTAGTATATTCCGAAAGTATGTGTAATTGTGTTGATCGCACCTTTTTGAAACTGGATAGAATGCGAAAATTCAAGTTGCATTTGTATTGTATATTGGAAGTCACATTGCACAGTAAATTGTTTCACACTGGAAGTAGCGCTCTCCATGATAATGATATAATCATTTTTTTACGATTCCAACTAGTGGATATTGTTCCACGTCACACGCCGTTATATTATTTGCTTGTCATTCTTTTTTATGCATTTTATATATTTCTCTGTCTATGCATGCCAATGATATTTATACAAAAAATATGCAAATCAAAATATTATTGATCACGAACATCTAATAAATGTCACGTTGTGACGACTGCAATTCCTTGGTTTTTCTAATCGCCTTCGTTTCCGCATTGGTTCTTTTTATACAATTATATTATGTTGCTGCACCAGTTCTGTCGCTTGTGTTTTTATTGCGATTTCACCTTAAGAATAAATTCTTGTTACGTATGCATTTTACATAATTTTAGAGTCTTGTTTTTCTTCTTTTAAAAGCGTCTTGAATGTTGTAACTTGATTGGAAGTTTCTTGTATTTCAAGTTAAGGACTATGACATTTAAAAATCCAATCATTTCCGATGTACTCTTTTATTTCAATGTGATCTAGGAATAACAATAGCTTCGACTGCACAGAATGGTATAAAGAGGCCTTTTTGGCAATATAAAGGGACCTTTTTACAATATAAATACCTTCGATTTAGTTAAATCAACATAAAAGAATATATCAGAAATATTCGTTCCATTTTCAAATCTGACACTGCATAATTTTTAACCTGAAACCAGAACGGCAAATTAACAAATTCTGGGTGTTTTTGAAGGAGAAAAAGTGAGACTATATAAAATGATATGAAACGCGCACGTAGAAAAGATTTATTTTTAAGATAAAATTCCACTTAAAATATACACAAGAGGACTTATCAAGCAGTCCACTAAGTGTCAATTTTTAATATATTATATTTGAAACATCCCAATAGTGATGCAAGACGACTCATATATAATAATACATCTACATGTAAAACCAATTTTCTGAAAACATTAATCCAGGTACAAAGTAATTTATTGTGCACTGAAACTTTCAACGCAGAAAGGTTGAATTGCTCGGAAAATATTGAACTGCAGCTAAGAATCAAAAGTTTCAATTAAGAAGTCAAGACGAGCCTTATAGTGAATCGTTAGAACTTGTATTGGAATATCTGAAAATTGTTAAATCGTTGTTCATCGATCAGAGAACCTATCATCTACTATTGAGATACCGTAGATTAAGTATTTTGATTTGTTACATTGATCTTCTACCCTCGGTATGTATACACTTTATTTTGTGATTGATTTTTGTATATTATTTTGTGTTAAATGCTTCGTCTAGTTAGTGTAATTCGCTCGACGAGTATTACGTACCATAAAAGTATATTAAAATTAGGCAGAGTTTAGATCTACAGAATACATAAACAATTATAGTGCTTTATAATATCGTTGGTGTGCTAATAAACGTTATGATGCTGTGTATGCGATGTCTTGAATTATTTTGTCGCTTTCGTACGACCTTCTTGAGCTTGCGTACACTATACTCTTGGTTCCCTGTCCATTACGTCCGCTGTGTCGATGAGCTTGCTTTTCGGTTCATTGTCTCTTTCGTTTCGAGAACACATTTCTTCGAATTATCCTATCAATTAGGACGTAACGATCGCGAAAAACGAAATTGATTTTCGGGTATGTTTTTGAAAGCAAAATGTCAATTTATTATATTTTGTCGATTTTGTTGACGGTAAAAAGGAAAGGTGCATAGATTACAACATATATTAATTGTCTTCATTTTTTTTTGTTTTAAATAAAAGAAAACCGATCTTCCATAAACTGAAACGCAGGGTGTGCAAGAAGCGGAAAATAAATTTACGTATCTACTGCAACAATATATTTCAGTATAGTCGTAATGAGATTGCATGCGTGTGAAGCGAGTACCAACGAAATTGCGTGCGTTTTGATTTGTTTCTTTTTTTTAAGGTAATCTAATCTAACGTACAATCTAAGGTAACTTTATACAAACACGGACATGATTGTTTACGGTAAGTTATCAACCAATATGTATATGTATATAAATAATTTTTTTTCATATACTTTTTAACCCTTTCGAATTACAAAACACATTCTACACGCATAATAACATTGTACATACTCTGTAAAATAGTAACATCTCATTTT